TGAGATGGGAACAAAACCAGATGACCGAAATAAAATTTTACATCTAAAACTTCTATACAAACTAAAACGGAAAAGTCAACATTAACAAAACTTCCAACCAAAGAAATAGCATACCACTTTCACCATTTTTGAAAGTCATACAATGTTTTCATCACCTAAGGAAGATTAAAAAACAAATAAATACCTACTCTGGGCTACAGTTCAATTTTTTGAGATCTGCATTCAAGTTAGGTACAGGAGCCCAAACAGGAGTCATGGGTAAAACATTCCTCTCCTGAGTGAGGTTTACAGGTCTCAGGCTTTCTGGTTGTGGAGAACTCTGAAGACTCAATCCTCCTAGACTGGAGGACAGCTGGTTCACACCAGGATAGTGCTGAAAGAGCAATTCAAAACAATACAAAAGAACAATAAAACATAAATACATTTTCTTATATACTACATATCTCAACATACAGAAAAAGCAAAAAGGTAAGAAAATTTAAATCTGGCTTGGTAATAGAATGACTTTACATGCAGTCAATCTAAAGCACACTTGAAAAAAACTCAAAGCGAAAGTACTGAATAAATTTGAATCTTATTAGCAAGGTTAACCCTCGCAATGAAATTTCAGCAACAATCCTTTTCGACATTAGCAATTTGGTTTCCCCAAATACAGTTTACACTAGAAAAAGAGGATAAATACCCCATTGTTCTCAAGGTCCCCCCACCCCCGCCAATTATCAACTTTCACAATGAGTTGGTGCCATAGAAATGTACAATGGTGTTCAATAGGTTTTGCCTTATTTTTTTCTATTTACTATATTTTTAGTATTATCAGGAATTCATGGCTTTTTGTTAACTCAAATTGATGTAATGAATTACAGTCATTATTCTTATGATGTTCAAACTACCCAATCTTTGGCCAGTGAAAGCCCTTTCAAGATGGCCCCAGTGTCCTTTTATATGAACCTAACTAGTCTTTGTTAGCTTCCTTGCTTTCTTACACAATATTTTATATTCTTTTTCTTCAAACCTAGAACTGTTTGTCTAAAAAGGAATCTTGGCTCCTTTTAAGTAGAGATGATATCTAAAAACCATTATCTGGATGATAAAAGTGCTTATCGCTAGTGTTGTTATTACTTCCATACTTGCAACAGGTAAAGATGGAAAATACATATATTAAAGTAGAAGCAATTTCCTAAATTAGGGCAAAACTTCAATTTGTCTCCCTGCTTCCATCTTGTCTTTTCAAAGACTCCCATCTCTAATCCATTCCTCACATAGCAGCCAAATGATTTTCTAAATATGTAAATTAGATGTCATTTTATTACATAAAATCTCTGATACCTCTATTTTGTACTTCGGGTAAAATCTAAGCTTCTGACTGTGATCCTTTAGCTCTCTGATCGCATCCCTATTACTCTTCCCATGCTGAATTACTGCAACACTGGGACTTCATTCCTCAAACACGTCAAACTTGTTCCTGCCTTAAGTCTTTGCATTATCAGTTTACTCAGCCTGAAATACTTTAACCACAGATCCTTCCATGCTTTTTCTTCTTCCAAATGTTAACTCAAACATAATTTCTACAATGAAGACTGCTTGTCTGACCTCCTACACCACATTTCCACCCCGGAAATTACTTCAAATCGTCTTACTTCATAGCACTTGCAACTACTTGAAATTAGCTCTTTATATTTTTACTATTTATTGTCTTATTAATGCTGACTTCCTACCAACCTTCTTAAGAACAGGAACTCTGTTTTTTCACTGAGCCTCCTCTCGTACTCTCAGTGCCTAAAATAGTTCTGCCACAGAGTAGAAATAACCTTCTATTGAGTACAGAGAAATTCTAAAGTCTTAAATAATTAAATGATGGCCAGACATGGTGGCTCATGCCTGTAATCCCAGTACTTTGGGAGGCCAAGGCAGGTGGATCGTTTGAGGTCAGGAGTTCGAGACCAGCCTGGTCAATATGGTGAAACCCCTTCTCTATTAAAAACACCAAAATTAAGTCAGACATGGTGCCATGCACCTGTAATCTCAGTTACTTGGGAGGCTAAGACAGGAGAATCACTTGAACCTGGGAGGCAGAGGTTGCCCACCACTGCACTCCAGCTTGGGCAACAGACACTCCATCTCAAAAAAAAAAACAAAAAAAAAAAAACAAAAAGAAAGAAAGGAAGAAATGCTTTGATTCTGTAATTCCACTTGTAGAAATTTCATTTAAGGAAATAGTAATACAAATGCATAAATGTGTGTGTGTAGTCACGTTGCTTAATGACGAGGACATGTACTGAGAAACACGTCGTTAGGTGATTTCATCCTTGTGCAAATATCAAAGAGTGTACACCTGGGCTATATGATATATAGCCTGTTGGTCCTAGGCTAACAAATCATGCATCATGTTACTGTTGAATATTGTAGGCAACTGCATACAATGATATTTGTATATCTAAACATAAAAAAAATACAAGAACAATATAGCAAAAGAGATACAAAATGGTATACTTCCATAGGGCATTTGGTATGAATGGAGCTTAAAGGACTGGAAGTTGCTCTGGGTGAGTCAGTGAGTGAGCGTTGAGTGAAGGTGAAGGCCCAGAACACTAATATGCTGTAGACTTTATAAACTCTGCACATTTAGGCTCTATCAAACCTATAAAAATACAGTTTTTGGCCAGACATAGTGGCTCATGTCTGTAATTCCAGCACTTTGGGAGACCTAGGCAGGTGGATCACTTGAGGTCAGGAATTTGAGACCAGCCTGGACAACATGGTGAAACCCTGTCTCTACTAAAAATTCAGAAATTAGCTGGGTGTGATGGCGGCAGGCGCCTGTGATCTCCCAGCCACTTCAGAGGCCAAGGCACAAGAATCACTTGAACTTGGGAGGTGGAAGTTGCAGTGAGAGTCAAGATTGTGCCACTGTGCTCCAATCTGGGCAACAGAATGAGACTCTGAGGGAAAAAAGTTTTTCTTTCTTCCGCAATACATTAGTTTACTGTAACTTCTTTACTTTATAAACTAATTTCTTTATAGGTTGGTGCAAAAGTAATTGCGGGTTTTGTTATTATTTTTTAAGACGGAGTCTTGCTCTTGTTGCCCAGGTTGGTGTGCAATGGTGCGATTTTGGCTCACTGCCACCTCCGGCTCCTGGGTTCAAGAGATTCTCCTGCCTCAGCCTCTTGACTAGCTGGGATTACAGGCACCCACCACCACGCCCAGCTAATTTTTGTATTTTTAGTAGAGACGGGGTTTCACCATGTTGGCCAGGCTGGTAGAACTCCTGACCTCAGGTGATCTGCCCACCTTGGCCTCCCAAAGTGCTGGAATTACAGGCATGAGCCACTGTGCCTGACCTGTCACAACTTTCAATGGCAAGAACTGCAATTACTTTTGCACCAATCTAAGTAACTTTTTGACTTTTACAAAAACAGTGTAAAACACACATTGTACAGCTGTACAAAAAAAATTTCTTCCTTTTATGGCTTTATTCTATAAGCTTTTTTCTATTTTAAATATTTTGTATTTTAAAACTTTTTGCTGAAAATGAATACACACAAACACAAATATTTGCTTAGTCCTACACAGGATCAAGATCATCAATATCACTGTCTTCCACCTCCACATCTTGTCCCACTGGAAGGTCTTAAGGTGCAATAACATGTAAGGAGCTATTATCTCCTGTGATAACAATGCCTTCTTCTGGATACTTCCTGGAGGACCTATGTGAGGTTGTTTTACAGTTCACTTTTATTTTTCATAAGTAGGAGTACACTCTAAAATAATGATAAAAATTACAGTATAAATACATAAATCAGTAGTCATTTATTTTCATTATCAAGTATTATGTACTGTGTATAACTGTATGTGCTACACTTTTATATGACTGGAGGTGCAGGTTTGTTTACAAGAGCATCACCACAAACACAAGAGTAATGCACTGTGCTACAACATTACCACAGCTACAAAGTCTATAGGTGACAGGGATTTTCCAGCTCCATTATAATCTTATGGGACCACCGTCATGCATGTGGTCTGTCATTAACTAAAATGTCATTATGCAGCACATAACTGTATGTATATAATAAAGTGTGTGTGCATGTGGGTATATGTTTACATGTGTGCATGTGTACACATGCAAGGATTTGTTTTCTTTTGTCACAGGTTCTTACAATGTTGTTCAAGGTTGGTCTCAAACTCCTCAGCTCCAGTGATTCTCCTGTCTTAACTGGGATCACAGAAGCACACCAAGCTTAAAAGGATGCTGATTTTGACACTGAGTTATGCCCCATAAATGGGAGACTCATTATAAAATATACAAGTACCAAAACGATGAAAGATATATAAAAATAATAAAGGTTTCTTCTTATACTGTTAAATAAATTTAAAAATTTTCCAAAGAGACATTCATTTTTTTTTTTTTTTGAGACAGAGTCTCACTCTGTCACCAGGCAGCAGTGCAGTGGCACGATCTTGGCTCACTGCAACCTCTGCTTCTCAGGTTCAAGCAATTCTCCTTCCTCAGCCTCCTGAGTAGCTGGGACTACAGGAAAGCCCCACCATGCCCAGCTAATTTCTGTATTTTTAGTAGAGACGGGGTTTCACCATGTTGACCAGGATGGTTCCAATCTCTTGACCTTGTGATCTGCCGTCTTGGTCTCTCAAATTGCTAGGATTACAGGTGTGTTGAAAGAAACCTGGAAGGACAGATCCCAACTATTGCTGTTTACAGCTTGGTAGAATTATGGTTAATATTTATTAATGTTTTTTCCTTTTGTTTATCTGCATTTTCCCTAATTGATCTCACTAAATTTGTAATTTAAAAAAGCCATACAGTATCTATATCTGGTTTTGCATATATTCACTGAAAATATTTTTGTAATTTTTATTTTTGTTTTTAAACATCAGCCTTTTTCCTGGTTTTCAACCCTAAAAAACAAATTTTAAGTTTTTTTTTCCTTCAAAACCCAACTGTTTAAGTGTATTAGGTGAATAAATAAATTTTAAATGAAAAAAACAAAACAAAACAAAACAAAACAAAAAACAACCGTTAGGGTTCCCCACTACTTAATAAAAGTCATCTCAAATTAATTAATACAAAGAAAAGCCCTTACACAAAGCCCTTTCATTGCACTACATTAAGTATAACATTTAAAGGCATTTCAACTTTATTATAGAAGACAGTGTAAAGCTAAGATGGGATATTATTACCCTACACAGAACTTCAAAAATAAATGGTCTGGGCACGGTGGCTCATGCCTGTAATCCCAAGAGTTTAGGAGGCTGAGGCAGGCAGATCACGAGGTCAGGAGTTGGAGACAATCCTGGCTAACACAGTGAAACCTTGTCTCTACTAAAACTACAAAAAATTAGCTGGGCGTGGTGGCACGCGCCTGTAGTCCCAGCTACTCAGGTGAGGCAGGAGAATCACTTGAACCTGGAGGATGCAGTAAGCCGAGATCACGCCACTGCACTCCAGCCTGGGCGACAGAGCAAGACTCCATCTCAAACAAACAAACAAACAAACAAAAAGGCTTCTTTTAAAAAAGTCTGATAGTGTTAATCTTAGGTTTAAATTTATAATCTTTTTTTTAGTAAATAGGTAAGAATTTAAATGTAGGTCCTAGCTGTATACCTAAATCATTACTGTTCACCGACCCTAAAACAGTAGTGTCCAAAAAACTATTTTAAATTCAGATCAGACAAAAATAAATAGCTACTCGTAATCTTCCTTGAAAAGATCCATAGATCAAATCGGACTGTGCAAGTCTTTTCCAGTTAAAAAGAAAAAAGTGCTTACTTCTGAATTGCAAGGTCTTTTGCATTCTTAGAACCAAGCCTGGTACTGGACAGGTGATTCACTTATTTGAGTTTCTATTTCCTCACAAAATGAAGGAAGATGACTATTTAATATTAAAAAAGTCAAAATTCCAAGTGTTGACAAGAATGTGAAGCAACTGAACTCACACACACTGCTAATGAGGTATAAATCAGAACATCACTTTGGCAAACTGTCTAGTTTTAACTGCTAAAATTGAAAAATGAATACCCAATGGCCCAGCAATTCCATTCCTATATACACTCACTAAAAGACAGGGACAGAAATGTTGACAATAGCATCATTCATAATAGCCCCACACTGGAAAGTTACACCAATGCCCATCAACAATAGAACAAATAAACAAACTGGTCTATTCACATGATTGAGTACCACATAACAATGAAAACAAGTGAATTACAATCACACAATAAGCATAATGTTGAGCAAAAGAATCCAGACATGAGTACATATGCTATGCTTCCAATTATATTCANAAAAAAAAAAAAAAAAAAAAAAAAAAAAAAAAAAAAAAAAAAAAAAAAAAAAAAAAAAAAAAAAAAAAAAAAAAAAAAAAAAAAAAAAAAAAGGTGGGAATGGTTGCTCTCTTAACAGTCTATTTCTAAATATTTTGGCTTTTTGATGTTCACAGAAGTGTGATTGATAACCCAGAAAACGTTTTAGTATATCTTTGTCCCCTTTATCCAAACTTTTCTGACACATGTACTAGACCCAGAACATAAAAAGAATTGTGATTACAGAATAGAATGATGTTGTATTTTTTAATTCAGGTAGAACATTCATTTTTACTCTTATTCCAAAGATAATTTCTTGACTTTTATAAAATAACCTCCCACATAAAATATGAAATCAAAAATACTTCCTACACACCTATGTCAGGGGTCAGCAAAGTTTTTCTGTGGAGAATCAGACCGTCAATATTTTAAAGCTTTGAGAGCTACATGATCTCTTTTGCAACTACTAAACTGTATCACTGTAGTGCAAAAACAGTCATAGAAAATAACATAAAAGAATGGGCATGGCTGTATTCCAATAAAACTTTATTATAAACAGGCAGTGGGCCAGATTTGGCCAGAAGTCCATGGTTCGTGGACTATTGTCCTAAGTCATTATGTAAGACCACTTACTATTTCAAAATAACTTCTTTTCTCTTTGCTCAACACTTCCAAGAATCAATCCTTTCTTTGAACCTGGTTTTCTTGTCATTAAAATTATAAGTAAATAATATGTTACAACCCAAATAGGAATTTGCCTAAAAGTACAAGAGTCTGACAAGACAGACTTAAACATTGTTTCACATGGCACAACAGAGCCATAAAGAAAATCTAGCAAAATGAGAGACAGAGAATCTGTACTAACCACCCATATTTCTCTAATGTCTCTGTTTTCCTCCTCCCTTTTTCCTATGTACTTTAATTCTAAAGTTAAATTCCAGAAACAAATAATTTTCCTTTTTCTCCCCTGCCCACCCCAACCAAATACTTCTACCTTAGTCTTGAGTAGTTGGAACTACATGAGTGAGCCACTGCTCCTCACTGATTATCCTATTTCTAATTTTCATTCTTTCTTCACTATAAAATTTCTATAAGGTTAGTCAACTAAGAACAGTTTTCTATAAGTAGCAATGCTTTTGTCATTAAAACTGTTTCCCTTCCGGGCACATTGGCTCATGCCTGTAATCCCAGCATTTTGGGAGGCCAAGGCAAGCAGATCACTTGAGGTCAGTAATTAGAGACCAGCCTGGCCAAAACCCCATCTCTACTAAAAATACAAAAATTAGCCAGGCGTGGTGGTGGGTGCCTATAATCCTGACTACTCTGAAGGCTGAGGCCAGGAATCACCTAAATCCAGGAGGCGGAGGTTGCAGTGAGCTGAGATTGTGCCACTGCACTCCAGCCTGGGCGACAGAGTGAGACTCCATCTCAAAAAAAAAA